CATCACCATCACCATCACCATCACCATCATCATCATCACCATCATCACCATCATCATCATCACCATCATCATCATTGTCACTACTACAGAGCCTGGGAAACAGCAAGCATTTGATGCATACTGAATTGGCCTGCAAACATAGATTGTAAGAGCTGGGAATGACCATCTTAGAGACCGTCCAACCCCAGTTTCTCACTTGGAGATGGAGCAGAAGGACATTTGGAGGAGAGAGGGAAAGTGAGCACCTGATTGCTTGGGAGTGTCCCCTCTCCCGGGCTGAAGCTGTGTCCCCAGCACGACTCCTGGGAAGTGGATGCAAACAGCCCTTGATGCGGGGTCATTTAGCCCTCAGGGCGGTGTCATTCTCTGCCCCACACACTGCCCCCGAAGTGCTACAAAATTGGGAGATTTCTCCCATCTACCCACTCATTCTCCTTCTTCCCTTCCTAACCTTGCCTGGCTGCCAGCTAATTCCAGCTGAGGTGCCAGTTAATACAAGCAGGTGGTTTTCCCCTTTCCCAGAAGCAAGAGCTTTCTGACAGGGCTTTGGAACCATCCTTCCCACCCCCAGAACCTTCAGGATTGAAGTGAATTGATCCCTAGTATGATGTATTATAGAGAAAATCCAGGGCTAGGAGCCAGAAGACCTGGCTTTCAGTCCTGGCTCTGCTGGCCAACTTCCTCTGGGGCTTTGGTTAAGTCACCTCCCCTCTGTGGACCTCAGTTTCTATCTCTGTAAATAAGAGATTGGAATTAGAGGTCCTCTACTAACCCTTCCATTTCTCACTTTCTGTGGATCTCTGTGTCTGGGTCCTTTTCTAGCTCTTCCATTCTGTGGCTCTAATGGTGGAATTTCAGGCACAGTGACAGTAAAGAGGGGAAGCTTTTCAGGAGGGGGCAGGGCAACCTGCCTCGTGTCTTCGGAATAATGGTCTATTCTGCCTGTTTTACTGAAGCATACAGCAGGAACCTGCAAGTAACAACCCTCTTCAACTCCCCAAATAATTCTGAGGGCTGAGCCCACACCCTTGCCTCCTTACCGTTATTCTCCCACCCCAACTCCCATACCCTCAGCACTAATAGCCGCTGCAGCGGGGTGGTGATGACATAGACTGGCACAGAGGAGTGATGGTCATGTTTCTCTGCTGTTGTAACGAGGGGTGGGCGGCGAGGACACGGACACCCGGAGCCAGGAGGGGCTGAGGGAAGGGGGGTTGGGTGGGGAGACGGTGGGGAGAGTTTCTCCCAGGGAAGCTGCCACCACTTGAGCTGTTGATCTCTAAATTACAGCGCTGCCTCTTAAGCCTGGACGCCGGCAGCAGCCGCACTGTTGCTGTGGCAACTGAGTTGTCCTGAACCGGGGAAGTGTATAAACACTGCTACAGATACACAATTAGATCAACAAGAAGAATAGAACAGAAAATAGAAACTCCCAGCCTTCCATAATTCTGGGCCAAAATGTTACTGGGAGCCGTTGCCTGGCCTCCTCCTCCCTGCCCACCCTGGCCCTGCTGGGGGCAGAGACTCGGCTGGCACCAGGCAGGGCCCGGGGGATGGAGAGGTCCTTTGGCTGCCTCCTTCTGTGCTCCAGACAGATGGGGGAGTGAGGGACAAAGGACGTGTTTGTCATGGCTGAGGCAGCCTTGAGGGGAAGGGGCTAACTGTCTGTGCTTTCACTCCCATGGCTCCCCCAAGTTGTGGCCAGGTCACCTCTCCATCACCCTCATGGACACCAGCACCTCAGCTGCTACTTCCCATCACCATCATCATTACCATTGTTCTCATAGTTGTCACCGCCACCATTGTTACAGGCATCACTGTCATTATCACCATGGTCGTCATCCTCTTGTCACCATCATTATTACCACTGTCCTCATGGTCATCATTGTCACTACCACTAGCAACATCATCACCATTGTCCCTATGAGCAGCATCACCATCTTTGTCACCATGACCACCATGTCTCCTGTCTCTGTCACCATCACCACCATCACTATCTTTGCCTTTGTCAATGTGACCGCCATGTCTCCTGTCTCTGTCACCATCACCACCATCACTATCTTTGCCATTGTCACCATGACTGCCATGACACCATTGTCACCATCTTTGCCATTATCACCATGACCACCATCTCTGTCACCATCCCTGCTATCACCATTGTTATACCCTCTATCACTTCTCCCTCCTGGGCTTGTTTGCTCATTTGTGGAAGGGGGATCTCAGAGTCCTAAGGGACTTCAGAAGGACGTCATCTCTTCCCCCCACACCGTAGCATGATACCTTTGCATGACATCTCTAACCAGCCATTGCTTCTTTAACCTCTTCTTGGACTCCACATTTAGCAGAGACCTCTCTGTGTCTTGAGTCACCCACTTCCCTTTGGAAAAGCTCTTGTTGCTGGGAAGAACTCATATTGAGCTGAAATCTGTCTCTGTGAGGTCCTGTTAGCCCAGCCCTGGCCTCCTGGAACCAAATCTAAGCCCTGCCTTGCCTTCCGCCCAGAGCCTTAATGTAGCGGAGAAAAGACATTGGATTTGGAATAAATAAAAACACGTGGGTTCTGTTGTGGGCACCGGCATTTACCAGCTATGTGGGAGAAAGTTGGAGCTGGATTCGACCTTAGGAACCATCCTATCCGACTTCCCAGCATTAGAGAGGCAGGAAACGCAGGCTTAGAGAGAAGGGGGGACTTGGTTATCCCAGGCCACAGAGGCAGGAAGGAGCAGATCCCCAACTCCCCATCCAGGGCTTCCTTCCACTCTACATGTCACTTTTCCCTCAGAGCCTCCATTTCCTCATCTGTGAAATGGGGCTGATAACTGTTGTGCTGCTAACACATCTCACAGGGCTTTGCTTCAGAAAGCAATTTGGAAACATCAAATCCCTAGAGAAACAGGAGCTATTTTTATCCAGTGAGATAATGCACATCCAAGTTCCTTCCAAATACCACAGCATTGCACACAGGCAGGGGATTTATTAGCATCACTATCATTTTATTATCTTTCTGTTCGGTACCCCTCAGCAAGCATTTATTAAGTGCCCACTATTACGTGCCAGGCACGGGCTTGCTGACCCCTGGGGATGCAGATACAAAAGGGATATAGCCCCCGACCCTGCAGGAGCCCATGCCTGACTGAGTGTCACTCAGAGAGTGACTTATTTTGGGAACCAACCTGTGCTTTCATCCACGTAGAGTACTTCCAGTGAGGAAGCGCCCTTCACCAATTCCCCGTCACTTACCCTACAACGTAGAGTCTGAATAGAGGCAGCTTGGCAGAGCAGTGCATACAGCCTTGGGCCTGGAGTCAGGAAGACCTGAGTTCAAATCCAGCCTCAGACACCTACTAGCTGTGTGACACCGAGCAAGTTACTTAATCCTATTTGCCTCAGTTTCCTCATCTATAAAATGGGGATTAATAATATGGACCTCCCAGGGAGGTTGTGAAGATCAAACGAGATAATATTTGTGAAATCGCTTAGCGCGGTGCTATATAAATGTTAGTTGTTGTTGTAGGGTTTTCTAGAGCATTGAGAGGTTATAGGACTTGCTCAAGGTCACACAGCCAAACCATCTTCCTGGCTCTGAGGCTGACTCTGTTCACTCCACTGGGGGACATCTCCCTCCCGGCAGATGACTGTGGTTCCTCCTTTCGTTGGCTAACTCTCATTTCTCTGCTCCCCTAACGTCTGGCCACCGTATCTCTTCTCCAGGTCCAGCGCCATCCCAGGCGGTGAGGACAGCCACTGGAGCTCTGCCCGGGGCGGGATGAACGGACACAGCCGGAACGGGCAGCCCCATGCCCCCCGGCGGAAGCGCCGCAACCGCTTCGTCAAGAAGAATGGCCAGTGCAACGTTTACTTTGCCAACCTCAGCAACAAGTCCCAGCGTTACATGGCCGACATCTTCACCACCTGCGTGGACACGCGTTGGCGGTACATGCTTATGATTTTCTCCGCCGCTTTCCTGGTCTCATGGCTTTTCTTTGGCCTCCTCTTCTGGTGCATTGCCTTCTTCCACGGCGACCTGGACCCCAGTCCAGCCCCAGTACCCGGACCCGCTGGAGCAGGCCCCGGGGGAGGCGGGAGCCCACCACCTGCGGCTGTGAAGCCTTGCATCATGCATGTGAACGGCTTCCTGGGAGCCTTTCTCTTCTCAGTGGAGACTCAGACCACCATTGGCTATGGCTTTCGCTGTGTGACGGAGGAGTGCCCATTGGCTGTCATGGCTGTGGTGGTGCAGTCCATCGTGGGCTGCGTCATTGACTCCTTCATGATCGGCACCATCATGGCCAAGATGGCGCGGCCCAAGAAGCGGGCCCAGACGCTGCTCTTCAGCCACCATGCTGTCATCTCTGTGAGGGATGGCAAGCTCTGCCTCATGTGGAGGGTGGGCAACCTAAGAAAAAGCCACATTGTGGAGGCCCACGTCCGGGCCCAGCTTATCAAGCCGTACATGACAGAGGAGGGTGAGTACCTGCCCCTGGACCAGCGGGACCTCAATGTGGGCTACGACATTGGGCTGGACCGCATCTTCTTGGTGTCCCCCATCATCATTGTCCATGAGATCGATGAGGAGAGCCCCCTCTATGGCATGGGCAAAGAGGAGCTGGAGTCAGAGGACTTTGAGATTGTGGTCATCCTGGAGGGCATGGTCGAGGCCACGGCCATGACCACCCAGGCCCGCAGCTCCTACCTGGCCAGCGAGATCCTCTGGGGCCACCGCTTTGAGCCCGTGGTCTTTGAGGAGAAGAGTCACTACAAGGTGGACTACTCACGTTTCCATAAGACCTACGAGGTGGCCGGCACACCCTGTTGCTCGGCCCGGGAGCTCCAGGAAAGCAAGATCACGGTCCTTCCTGCCCCTCCGCCACCGCCCAGTGCCTTCTGCTATGAGAACGAGCTGGCACTCATGAGCCAGGAGGAGGATGAACTCGAGGAGGACGTAGCTGGCCTGGGGCTGGAGGGCGGCTCCAAGGAAGATGGCGGCATCATTCGCATGCTGGAGTTTGGGAGCCACCTGGATTTGGAGAGGATGCAGTCCACCCTGCCCCTCGACAACATCTCCTACCGCCGGGAGTCAGCCATCTGACCTCCTGCCCTCCCGTCTAGCCCTGTGTCCCCCTTGTCACCTCAGGCCCTGATGTACCCCCATTCCCTGACCCCTTGTGGGAAGATCCCCCTTTCTAGACAGGAGAAGGACCAGCAGACCATGAACATTCCCTCCCTCAGTATCCATGGGACAAACGCTCCTCCCTCCCAAGGACAGAACCCACCCAGGCCATAGGAACCCTTCTGGTGGCCACCTGGGGCCATGAGAAATGAGTGTATGAGCAGGAGTCTATCCCCCTTGCCTTCTCACTTCAGTGCTCAAGAATTAGACCCTGACAACAGGGAAGACCCTATCCCTGAGTTCTGCCCAGTCAACCATTCCACACCGTCTACTGCTGTGGGCCTGACTCCACTTGGGCACCCAGAACTGCCCAACATGGCACCCTTAGGCCCTTCCAGGACATGCCCCCAATTGCCCTGGAGAACTTTGGGAAGGTTCCTGGGACAGATATGGGGGCAGGAGGCTCACACAGAGGCCAGGGCTGGAAGGCTGGTTGGGGGAAGTAGAAGGAAAGGTTGACCTTGCATGTTTGTGACCTGTCACACATCCTTTTGTAAATATATACATATATATATATATATTATATATATATAAAGACAAGAAAGATCCAACCCAGATTCTTCAATTTCCAGGGGCGGGATGGGGAGATGAAGCCAGGCCCCTCTTCCTCTCCCTCATGGACTGGCTATTAGAGCCGGTGGTCCTTGGGCTATCTCAGAATGAGGCGGTGCCGACCCAGGAGGCCCCCAGGGACAGGCCTGGAGTGCCACTCCCTTCATGTGCCAGCCCCACCTCTGCTGGTCCCCCAACTGCCCACTCTCAGCTTCTGCCCCTCCTCTCTACCCTTCCAACACACACATCTGTACAATGGGATTTTTAATTATTTTTAATAAAGTATCCAATCCTCTTGGAGCCACATGGACCAAAAGGAGAGGGAGAAAGAGACCTAGAGTATGAGAGGCATGTCTACCATCCTCCTGGGGGCTTGTTTGTTGGGAACTGGGGGGAGAGGGGAGGAAGAAGGCAGAGGCAGGAGGGGTCAATAGGATGTAATAATAATAATAATCCTTTCCATGTAGAGGCAGCAGGGTTTGTGGAAGGGGAACTGGAGACAGAGAGAGAAGACCTGGCTTTGATTCCTAGGTCTGCTTATTCACTGTGAAGATCTTAAGGAAGCCACTTCCCGGCTCTGGGACTCAGTTTCTTAGAATTGAGGAATTGGAAGGAGCCTTGGAGACCATCTTTTCCAACCCTTACCTGGGCAAGCATAACTAACCAGCCTCTGCTGAAGGGCCTTCAGTATCTGGGAACTTACATGTCCCTCTAAGGCAGCCTTTTGGACAGCTCCAATGGGGGGAACTTTTCCTTACTGGAAACTCGATTTATCTTTGCATATCTCCCCATGGCTTTTGGTTCTGCCTTCTGGGGCCAAGCACATCAAATCCAATCCCTCTTCCATATGGAAGCCTTCCAAATGCTTGAGGCACATCTTAGGGCTCCTGGGAGCCTCCCTTGCTCCTGGCTCATCATCCCCATTTTTTTTTTTAGGCAATTGGGGTTAAGTGACTTGCCCAGGGTCACACAGCTAGTAAATGTGAAGTGTGTGGTCTGAGGCTGGATTTGAACTCAGGTACCCCTGACTTCAGGGCCAGTGCTCTATCCACTGCGCCACCTAGCTGCCCTATCATCCCCATTTTTTGTGACGGATCCTTAAATAGTGGGATCTCAAAGTCCTTTACTGTCCTGATTGCCTCCCTCTGGACACTGCAATGTGATGCCCAGATGTGTATCCATTTTCAAAGCAAGGGGCTTTGCCTGGATAATCTCTGAGGTCCCTCCCAGCTCTGTGTCCTGAGGTTCTGCAGTTTCTAGCATGGACGAAATGCTTTCATGTTTGGAAAGGGCTTTGCGTCGTGCCTGATATATAGCAGGCATTTAATAAATGCTTGTTCCCTTTCCTCCCTAACCCCTTTTGATCCCTATGAAATAGTGTTTTGGGAACTCACGTTTCTAGGGCCCTTTTCTCACCACAATCCTGGAGGCAGTAGTGTGCGAGATTGTGTCTCCATCATATGGATGAGGAAATTGGGGCACGGGGAGAGGGGAAATGACCCCACCCTAGGGAAGACTAGAAAGGGATCCTGTAGGACTAGAGATTTAGAGCTGAAAGGGACCTGAGAGGTCATTAAGTCCAGCCCCTTCTTTTTACAGATGAGGAGACTGAGTCACAGAGAAGTGAAGGGGTTCATCAAAAGTAAAAATTGAAAGTATCTAGGGGCAGCTAGGTGGCGCAGTGGATAGAGCATTGGCCCTGGATTCAGGAGGATCTGAGTTCAAATCTGACCTCAGACACATAACATTTACTAGCTGTGTGACCTTGGGCAAGTTACTTAACCCCATTGCCTAGCCTCTCCCCCCAAAAATGAAAGTATCCTTGACCACAATAAGCTTATGTTCTATTAAGACAGACCGCATATATAGTCAAGGTAATTTGCAGGTGAAGGGTTGGGAGGCACTTTCAGCTGGTGGGGAGTGTGGGGAGGACAGAGAAGGGCTTCATGAAGAAGGTGGTGCATGAGCTCATAAAGAATCTAGGTATTCTTAAGAGGCAGAGGTGAGAAGGGAGGGAATTCCAGGGGTGGGGGACCACTTGTGCAGAGGCAGGATAGGGCATACACATCTCTCTAGTGTTATTTGGCTTATCTACAGAGCACTTTCTTTTTTTTGTGAATATCTTTTTTTAAATTAATTAATTTATTTTTAGTTTTCAACATACATTTTCATAAGATTTTTAGTTTTAAATTTTCTCACCTCCCTCTTCCCCCCCAAGATGGCGTGCAATCTGATATAGGTTCTAAATATACATTCATATTAAACATATTTTCACATTAGTCATGTTGTAAGTAAGAATTAGAACCAATAGGAGGAACCACCAGAAAGAGAAAACAAAACACAACAGGAGAAAAGATAGCAAATAGTCAGCTTCGATCTGCGTTCAAACTCCATGGTTCTTTCTCTGGATGTGGATAGCATTTTCCATCATGAGTCCCTTGGAGTTGTCTTAGATCCTTGCATTGCTGAGAAGAACTAAGTCTGTCAAAGTTAGTTATCATACAGTGTGGCTGTTACTGTGTACAACGTTCTCCTGGTTCTGCTCACTTCACTCAACATCAGTTCGTATAAGTCTTTCCAGGTTTTTCTGAAGTCTGCCTGCTCATCATTTCTTATAGCACAATAGTATTCCATTACATTCATAAACCGCAACTCGTTCAATCATTCCCCAATTGATGAGCATCCCCTCAATTTCCAATTCTTTGCCACCACAGAAAGAGCTGCTATAAATATTTTTGTACATGTGTGTCCTTTTCGCATTTTTATGGTCTCTAGACCTAGAAATGCTATTGCTGGGTCAAAGGATATGCACAGTTTTATAGCTCTTTGGGCAAAGTTCCAAATTGTTCTCCAGGATGGTTGGATCATTTCACAACTCCACCAACAATGTATTAGTGTTCCAATTTTCCCACATCTTCTCCAACATTTATCATTTTCCTGTTTTGTCATGTTAGCCAGTCTTACAGGTGTGATGTGGTGCCTCAGAGTTGTTTTGATTTGCATTTCTCTAATTAATAGTGATATAGAGTATTTTTTCTTATGACTATAGATAGCTTTAATTTCTTCATCTGAAAACTGCCTATTCATATCCTTTGATAATTTATCAATTGGAGAATGACTTGTATTCTTATAAATTTGGCTCAGTTCTCTATATATTTTAGAAATGAGGCCTTTATCAGAGACGCTGGCTGTAAAAATTGTTTCATGGCTTTATGCTTCCCTTCTAATCTTGGTTGCATTAGCTTTGTTTGTGCAAAAACTTTTCAATTTAATGTAATCACCATCATAATCATCCATTTACAGAGCACTATCTCAAGCAAACCCTTGGGGGTGAGCAGTTCAAGGATTCTACAAGCAGTTAGTAAGCTCCTGCCCCGTAGAAATCTGGGTCTTTTCTGCAGAAGACAGCCCAGAAAACACTCTGGAAGCGAGAAGGAGAAGGCAGGAAGACTAATTAGGAGGTTGTTCCAGCAGCCCAGGTGACAGAGGATGAGGGTCTGAATGAAGGGCATTGGCCATGAGAGTGGAGAAAAGGAGGGGAGATGTTTTGCACTGATTGAATATAACAGTCCAGGGTAGTTGAGGATGCCATGAATCTGGGTGACTGGAAAGACGGCAGCACCTTTGGAAGAAATAGAGAGAAGGGGAAGGGATCTGGGTTTAAGTGGGGGAAATGATGAGTTCTGCTTTGCAGATGTTCAGTTTGAGCTGCCTACAGGCTATGCAGGTATTGATAACTGGCAAACAGCTGGAGAAATGGACCCACAGCTCAGGAAAGAGATAATGGTTTGGTTTGTAGATATATGAGTTATCTTAGGGTGGGATGATAACTGAACCCAGGGCAGGAGATCCTATCACCAATGGACTGACCTTAATAGAGAGACTCAGACACCCATATTACAGATGGAATAATAGAGAAGTGAGGGGACTAGTTTGAGACAAAGCAAGGACCAAAGGCAGACAGCAGGCTGAGCTGACCAACAGCAGAAATAAGTGTACCACCAAGGGCAATAGAATAAAGGGTGTAAGGAGCTGGAGAAGTCACTTCTGGTAGGGAAGGGGGTGGGAAATCAAGGTAGACTGCCTGGAAGAGGCGGCCTAGTAAGAGAGGTAGACTTTCAATAGGTGGCAATAAAGAAACAGGAACAAGAGCCAGACAAACTGGTGTGAGTGAGGAGATCCGGCCAGGGAGGCAGCACTCGGCCATTAACACGGCAGCAGAGATGGACTGATCAGATTAGCAGGCTGCCACCTTGGAGGCTGGAGATCAGGGCCCTGTTGGGACGGGAGCTGAGTGGGCAAGTCATGAGCGGACGGAGCAGGCCTGGACAGACTAGAACAGCCCTCATGCCTCAAGCTCAGATGTGACATTCCCTGTTATAAGCTCCCTCCCACTTCTGCCGTTCCCTGTTCTAAGCTCCTTCCCAGCTCTGCCATTCCCTGTTCTAAGCTCCTTCCTAGCTCTGACTTTCTATGTTCTAACATCCCTCCCAAGTTCTGACCTTCTCTGGTCTAAGGTCCCTCACAGCTCTGACATTCCATGTTCTAAGCTCCATCATAGCTCTGACATCCCCTGTTCTAAGCTCCTTCTCAGGTCTGACATTCCCTGTTCTAAAACCTCTCCCAGTTCTGACATTCCATGTTCTAACATCCCTCCGAAGCTCTGACATCCCCTGTTCTAAGCCCCCTCCCGCCTCTAACGTTCCTAATTCTAAGACCCCATAGAGGAAGGCTAGGAACCAAGACAAGGCGGTGATTGGCTGCTCAACTGTCTTCTAAGTCTTTGAAGAGCTGTCACATGGAAAAGTGATGGGATTTGTTATTTGTCCCCAGAGGTCAGAATTTGGAGCAACATGGGGGGATGGGATCGAGTACAAAGCGC